AAAATATGTGTTCGCTCATTGGTAAAACACAGCGTGCAAATATCTTCGGAAGACTTCTCTCTTGACACATTCAGCAGTTTTGAAGATCCCAATTTATAGTGTGGAATAAATGTTCTTTAGAGATATTACATCTGTACAGAAGAAAAGGCAATAAAATTTACAATATTGCTTATATATGTGTGTGAAAAAAAAACTTTTATTTTAGTTTATCAATTAACTACTAATTGTAAGTGAATAAGATTACCTCGCGTATTACTGTGTTTAGTCTTTGAACTGAATAGAAATATTATAATTTTTGGTATTAAATTTGAGACTTTAAATTCTGTAACTGTTGTAATGCTTTCTGTTCTTTTGTTTTTAGCTGTTGATCAATTCTATGTAAAACCAATTTTGGTAACTTTATTACTCCAGGATTTCGCTCATACATGTTTCCGTAAGTTTTATTTCCATTTTCATTGTAAGAGTTTTCTATTAATGAGAAATAATGCATTTAATGCAATTAGTCTATAAGGAAAAATTTTAAATAATGTAATAGATTCAAAAAGATAAAATTTGAAAATTGAGATGTATATTACAAATTAAGAGATTTATCTAGAAAAATGGAAAAACAGAATTATGTTACCAATCTCAAAAATATTCTTTTCCATTATTAAACAATATAATATTATTCTATGAAATATATTAAATATTTTAAAAAAGAAAAAAAACAAAAAGTTATATATAAATTTTATGTTTCTCCTGCTCCGCACTAATAAAAAAAGTATAATTTTCTCAAATTATTGTACAAAAAGATAGGCTACGTATTTTACAAGTTTTTTTAATGTCTACGTCATAAAAAATTTGAAAATACATATAACAAATTTGGAATATCCTATTTTTTATTGTATAAACTGATTTGATTCATTATTTAGCATATATATGTGTCAGAGTATAATAATTAAAAATTGAATACTTTTGATATTTTGCATTTTATTTTGATATACTAGCGTAACAGTTTAAATAATGTAAAACGCTTATTTTTGGACGCTTTTATTTCAGTCCTTTTATAAATAAAAATTCCATTATAGACAGAAGAAACTGTCTGATGATACTAATCTATGTAGTTATACAACTAATAGTTGTATAATTGGAATTGCAAATTGTAATATAATTCTTTTCGATATTTTTGTATGCTTTTTTTCATAAACTGATTTTTCTTATCAGTTTATATATAAAAGTATTAAAATAACATCGTCGAAAAATGAGTACTGTACGAAATATCTTGCATTTTATGCTGAAAAAAATGTAAGATGCAAAATACCTTATAAAGTATTTACTTTTCAAATATCTCATCCGAATAATTTTATATTATAAATAAAATTAATTTATACAAAAAAATTAATTAATAATTAATAATTTATACAATAAATAATTTGCATAAAATTGTTATTTAAAAAATATGAGGTAATCTTATGACATCTGCATCTACAGTTCAATATATGCAAAAAATTTTATGCCAAATAATGTTTTGACAAAACTTGTAAAAAAAAACTTTTGTAAAAAAATCACTGATTTAATGTATTATTTTTATAGGAAAAATCTAATTTAAAAAAATATAATTTTTATATAAAAGTATAAATATAAATATAAAACTATAAGTATAAAAAAAAGTATAAATACAAACACATATATAAATCTTATATAAAAGTAATGTTATCTGCAAATAAAGACAAATGAAAATCGAGGAAATAAAAAAAAAACAAAAATTTATGAAATGTTCGAAGAAAAGTAGTATCAAAAAATTCTGCAAACTGAAAACTGAAAATTCTATTATTAAAAAATATATAAACGTAAACAAAGATGACTTAAGAAGCATATATTGTAAATAGAAATTAATATTTAATATAAAAGGCCACCAAAGTTTTAGAAAATATTTTTAAATTCGTATATTTTCTACAAAAATAATGATAATAGTTAAATCAACGGCAAATAAAAACTTAGACTTTTTCAAAAAATAATTATGTCAATAATGTTTAGAAAATTATTTTTTTCAATATACATTTTTTTATATTTTAATATAAAAAAGAATATATAAAGGCTGAATTATGAACACTAAGACTGAAGTTAAGTTTCAGAAATACTTCGTGTGCTCGGATACTCAAGTTCATTTTATAAGTCTATGTATTAGTAATAATCAAGAAAATGATTTTAAATGACTCAATAGTGTAGTACATAATATTACTAAATTAATAAAAATAAAATATTAAAATTATACATTACCTTTGTTAGTGGTTAACTTTTTTGTTCTTTTCATTTGTTGTGTTCTTTTTGAATGCTTTTCGAATACACCATTCTCTTCTTCATAATTAAATAATTCTTGTTCTGTTAGTTTTCTCTTTGTTATGTTTGTGTCAACATTATTGTTAGTAATACACAATGTATTTGATTTTGTTTCAGAGACCACATCTTGTTCGTCAGATCTCGATGTACATATTTGATTGTCACCTTCAATGATTGAAATAAAATGCAATTAATATTAATTGTTATAATAACAAATCGAAAAAAAGTTGTAAAAGATTAAAAACAGAAAATTTTTATCCTCTATTAATAACCGTTAAAAAACCAAATTTTTAAGACTTGTATTTCATTAATAACATAGATTAGGGTTTCTAACCATAGTACTGCAAGAAACAAACTAAAATTAGTATTTAATGTACATGTTTATTTAAATTCGTACTAAATTATATGAAATTTGATTTGAAAATTTTAAATATGTTATGCATTCCATATAAATTTATTAAAAATTTTTAAACATTTTCAACTGAGCGCGTTTATAAATATTTGTACA